CAGACCACTGTAGATGGGATGCCTACACTTGCCACCTAGGAAGCACGGGGACGCCATCGGTGTGCCGTTCCAAGTACTTGATACTTCCCCGGTACGGGGACGACACAGGGACGAATGGGGTACATACCAGGGATGTGCCACAGTGGCAGGGTATGGCTGAACGGCATCGGGGACGTTTCACCGACAGCTGGGGACGTTTTAGGGACGGCTGGGGACTTTCATATATGTCCCCAGGATCTTTTTGTCATTTTACATTTAAAAATAAATCCCCATCGCATAACCTAATTTCACAGCTTCTCAATTCCCTCTTTCTTATCTCGACTCTCATCGTCTCTCAACTCTCAATACTAAATTTGTGCTGCTGAAGTGAAGACTTCCAGGTTTCAAAGTTTCAGTTGGCTATATAAGTTCTCCAATTTCTCTACGTTTTTTAATTTGTTTTCTCTTCCATTTTCAATTTATTTTCATTACCGAATATTCTTTGCAATTTAAAGTTTTCTTTGCTCTCTTTGTGCTTCTCTCATCTTGTTTCTATCTGAAATTGATGATAAAAAACATGCTCAAGTGTTTCACGAATGAAATTCTGCTCGCTCTTAATGAATTAAACCATAAAACTGTCTCGAGCAGAATCCTTTCATCCTACACTTTGCCATTATATTATTTTCAAGATTCAATCCCCCTTTTTTCATGTAACTAGTGTCTGCTAAAATGAGAAGCTAAAAAATAAGTTCCTTGTACCACAAATTTATTCTGTTCTTCATGCTGTTAATAGCTGGGGTGTGGTTCTTGTCTAAGTTTAGCTCTTCTCTAGTGTGGTTTGGTGTTCATGAGAAAGTTAAGGATTTATAGTGTCATCTTATTTTTTTAGCTCTTAGTTATTGTATAAGTTCTGTTTGATCTTATTGGTATTCTTCTTTACTTCACTTCAGAAAGCAATAGGTTACGTTTTTTGATTTCTAAGTCATTTTTGGGTCTTGTTTTCTAATGGGTTTTGTTTGAAGGATTTGGTGTCTTGTGCCAACCTAATTGCTCGTGAATGTTGCTGTCCGTCCGAGGAACAATTAGTTTGGTTTTCCATTTAGTTAAGACAGACATTTAGTTTAACATTTTTTAGCTCTTCGTGTTTCTTTTTGTCGCATAACAGGTGACGGGGTTGATTATGTTTCAAGGTTACATGACTACCCATTAGTTGTTTTCTATGGGATTTTGGTTTTGTTGAGAGAGTAGTTGAGATTTTAAACAGTGTTGGTTTCATTTTTCTAGTAGTAGCATTTCTCAAGAACAAAAAACAGAGTATAACAAATTTGAGTCAAATTTGAGTTATAATTCCGAAACTTCTGGTAAAATAAACCCTACTTATAAATTAGAAAATTGCTAAAGAAGTAAAATGGTAAATTGTTTTATCTGGAAATAAACTTTAATCAACTTGAAGTTACTTACAGATTGCATGCGATGAAATTTTCAGATACACGGGGTGTTAAACGCAGTAAGTTGGGGGTATATTGATTCCACTAGCTGCCATAATAGCAAGGTACTTGAAGGTATTCAAATCTGCTGATCCTGCATGGTTTTATCTGTACGCTTCATGTCAGTTATCAGCCTTTTTTTTCAATTCGAAGCAAAACATAGTAGTCTGCATGTAACTTATATTCACATCTCTTTTCGTTTTTTGTATTCGCCTTATATATTCACATGCTTTGTTTTCAATTACATTCAATTGATGCTCGATATTTAAACTCATTTAATTTTTTTAATGTAACTTAATATTGTTGTTTGAGTCTTAATATTTGACTTAATTTATATTTTTTATATATATATTTATAATTTTAAAATTATTTTATATGTCGTACCCTTGCCGTCCCTGTACCCTGTAATTTTAAAAATTATCGTTTCCCGTCTCCATCCCCATATCCGTCCCCGTATCCGTATCAGTGCAACATAACTTGCCACAATGAAGTAATGGTCCATAATCTTCCAAGGACCCTCTGTTAAAACCTTCGATCTATCTTCAAGATTTTGGAACTTGATGGCGTAGAACCCGTTGCCTAGATCAATGCAGTCGTATTCGCCTTTCAGATTCCACAGCGAAGTAATTCTCTTGATCATCTTCTTGTAAGCAACATTCTTTCCTAGGACCTTGATTATTAAAGCTTTCCTCCAAGGTTCCCTTATCTTCAACTTTTGTTCCGCTGTAATCTTAACTGTTGGAATTTCGCTCTTAGAAACTTCTTCTTCCATGTCAGAGTTAGCACCTTCCTCTTCAACTCTTGACAAAGCTAGTAGTATTCCTGCAAATGGAGACGATTCTGCCACCCTATCACGCCACAATTTCTTAGTAGATAGCCCCTCTTTTGTTTCATAATATCCCATCGACTGAAATCTCTTATTGCCTCTTCTTGAGAACTCTTCCTCCTCTGCAGGATGAGCTAGAACACAAGAAAGCTCAAGAAAAGAATCTTGGATAAAAAAACATATCATATCTTGTATTTACCTCATATTAAACAAACAATAAAAAAATAAATACCGAAAAATAACAGAGGACCAATATAACTCTCATCGAGCAACGTTTACTAATTAATCAAAACTGCTTTCCTTGATAATTTTTTTTATAACTTGTTTTATTAAAATAAAATTTATTGGGGTCAAATTAAAATTTGATTTAATATAACAAAAGAAGAAGAAGAAGAACGAACATTCATTACAATAATAACGTGACCCTTTATCACCATACAAAGAAAGTGGCATGAAAAAAGTCATAATTCATTTTATGATTTATGTTTGAGTTTTAAAATTATATTTTTATAAATTCGAAATCTAATTCTAATTTAATTCAGAGGGAAGAAAAAACACTTTAAAAAAAGAAAAGGATGTGCTCTTAATGGATCAATAATCCATGTTTGAAAGAAATCTAAAGAAACAAAGATTAGCAGCTTAGTCAAATGCATTTGTTGAATTTTAAAATCATTTTTAAAATTAAAATTTCATTAACATTAATTATATTATATCTTACCACTACATTCATCAATTAATACTAATCCTTTTACTAAACATGTGACATTTTAATGAGGCGTTTGAGGTTTTGGGTGAGGAAAGCGGTGGCGGTGCTCGTAGGGGGAGGAGTTCTTTCGATTTGCAGCAATTGTGTTGGCTGCCCTTGTTAAAGGTTGGATTGTAGTTTATTTGGTATTTCCTACTTGTTAGGCCCTGTCTGTTATGCTGTCTGCTTTGGTCTAGTTTTACTCTTACCTCTTGATGTCTTTTGGGTGGTATCCACTATTCCTTGTAGTTTATGTTGTTGGGGAGGTGGTGCTGAATAATTTGTTGGTGGCAATTGTCAAGTCCTAGTTTAGCGGTGTGAACTGGTGAAGTTGATTGCAACACGATTGTTGAGATGTGATGAAAATTCCATGGTGAATCTGTAGGTAGAATTATCTAGTAAGGGTTGATTGTTTTGGCATTTATATTTGCCAGGTCTGCCGGTGAGGGAATAAAGTAGTCCAATGATGTTTATGAAGAAAGTACAGTAGATTAGGATGAAAGCCGATGAAGTATGAACAGGAGCTACCCTTCTCAGTTTTGGTTGTTTCTTTAACTAATGAATGAGGGTGGTCTTGCTTTTATTTGTACTGAACATATGCACCATATTGAGTAGTTTAGTATTGATGGAATGTTCCATAGCTGGTCATCATCAGGTTTGCACTTATCATAAGCTTGGTGATTAGTCTGTGGTCATTAATTCGGATAGTGTTATGCTCTCTTAAATCGGGTTTGCTGTTTATATTGAGTTGGTTTGGGTGCTGTTTATATTGAGTTGGTTTGGGTGCTGTGTGTTTTTTGCGGTGTGAAATGCTGAAGAGTTGTACTTGCACTTTGTTAAGAACTTTGTTAGAAATACTCTTATCCTCCATTTAGGTTTAAGAAGGTTTTTAACGAGACTCGTAACCTAAGTTTTATTCAATAAATAATATTTGCCGATAAAAAAAAAAGAATTTGTAAACATCAACCGTCATGGTTTTGTTTAGTGTCTGCTATTTTATTTTTATTTTTTTGCTTTGCTATGTCAACATTATACAACATATTATAATTGGGATAAAGCATATCTGCAAAATTACCTTCCAGTCAAGTCAAAAACTCAAAATATATTTTCTTCCTATATTCAGTCTCCATATTGAATAGAAACTCCGGTATACATGGTTTTGCATTTGTTGTATGAAATCGACTTGAAAAATATTTGAACAGTCGAATATTAAATTGTATGAAAAAGTTCAAGTTAATTAAGTTGATGTATATTATTTTATAAATTAAATTTAAATTAATATGTTTGAATCTGACTGAATAACATGTTTGAGTCGAATAAAAAACGGTATATATAAAATTAAAATATTTTTAACAACCTCATTGAATTTAAAATTAACACACATAAATTTGAAAACGTATATAAACATCTGTTGAGGAAAAAAGGACTTGTGTGATATAGTTGAGAGACAAATAAGAGGGAGAAAGAGTTTGCAGATTTCCGATATTATTGAGAATGTGGATATTTTCTTATTGATGGAAGTGAACCCTGGATTTAGTGTGACGTTTATACAGTCTTTTATTGGTTCAACATTTCTTCAACTTAACAATGGAGACTTTTCAATCTGTATACCTCCGATTTTATATGATTTTGGAAATTGTCTGCTGCAGATTATTCAAGGGCTTTGAAATACCGGGGTAGTTTTGTTAACATATTAAATCTTTTTTGTACCTGGTTTATCTTCAATGTTTAATTTGATTTCTCTTATTAATAAATTTATTTTTTTGCCGTAAAAAATTAAATACCCGATGCTATAAATAGAAGCAACTCGCTCGTAAAGCCAAACCAAGCTGATTCACAAGCTCAATAGTCTTAAGAAAACCATCTAGTTCGAACATAACAAATTAACAAATTAACCGAAGGATGGAACCAACTGTGCAAGAGGGTTCGGGAGGCTCTCGAGACTTACGGTTGTTTCCAGGTGATGTATAAACGCATATCGCAGAAGCTCCGAGATGATACGTTCAGGTTACTGAAACAATTGGTTGAGGAAGTCCCACTGGAAAATAAACAGAGAAACGTTAACCCCGAGCCTTTCCATGGCTTCATTGGACCATGCACTGATGAGTCTCTGTATGAAGGATATGAAATTGTAGGTGCCTCCAGCTACGAGGGTGTTAAAAACTTTGCTCAACTTGTGTGGCCTGATGGTCACCCCCGCTTTTGGTAATAACACATGTTCTTCACCTTAATTTGTAATTCGAAATCTGGCAAATCATTAATCAAATGTTTTGATGCTTAATTTGTCACAGCGAAACTGTGCACACCATAGTCAATCAGATGAAGGAGCTGACCCGTACGATATGGTTAATGATAATAGATAGCTATGGATTAGGGGAGAGATTGGAGTCAGTGGTGAGCAACTACGACATGCTGCTGCGGATGATGAAATACAAGGCCCTTCCCTCCATCTGGGGTTTACGAGAAAGCATTCCATTCTCATACTGATAAACCAGTTAGCACAATCATCTGCGATGATCTTGTTTCTGGCCTCGAAATTGAGCTCGACGACGGCCAATGGGTCAAGCTGTCTTCGTCTCCTGGCTCCTTTTTCTTTGTGGTCGGAGATCCTCTCATGGTATGTGTATGTACTACTGTTAGTATCATATCTCTAGTTGTCGGTGTCTAAATTCATAATATTAATCATGTGTGGAAAATGAAAAATTGAAGGCATGGAGTAATGGGAGACTTAAAGCGGTGAATCACAGAGTGATGATGAGCGGAAACAAAGATCGATTCTCTATGACATGTGAAGACACCGAATTTCGACCTTTTCTTTTTTCATTCAATTATTATATTATATAATATATTTATGTATTATAATACACATATATTCATATATCATTTTTTATGTTACATGCCAAAATCCAAACAACCCGATTCAGGGGCCCAGCAGCAGTGACCCAGACCCAGTCCAAGCCAAACCCGAGTATCAGGGTTTCCAGAAATCCTAGGGCGTCGCTCTCTCTCCTTTGCACTTCACGCCTCTCACTACCGCACGTCACTTACCACCAAATCCCGTAAACTCCGACGCAAGGACCTCACAAGCCCAACAAACAAGAGTACCAGTTTCATTAGGACTCAATCACTAAAATAGTATTTTTTAGGGTATAAATAAACATGTAATGATCCGTTTGAAACACACAATATCAAAGAGTATTAGGCACAAAAATACCAGAAAACGAATCGAGCAAAAGGCCAGAATACTTGTACTCTTCGAAATAAGAAAAAGAGAATAAAAAGGCCCCCCCATGTCCCCTCTTTTTGACCAATCTATTTTTTTCGGTGAAAATCCATTAGTTAGGAGAACATTGAAGCATAATTATTAACACCATGGGACCCTTAAAGCCTATTAGCTAAAGGCATCTTCTTTTGACAAAAATAACTAAACATGCAGCCCACACGTCTTTCTCTTTTATTATTCTTTTTTTTACCCCTTAATTTTTCTTTTATTGTAATTTTATCCCCTATTTATATATATATATAATTATATTTTTCTATTCTCTATATTTCTTTTTGGTTCTTACTACTCTTTTTATTATCTTTTTACTTTATTCTATTTTCTTTATTATCTTCTTTGTTTCATCTTTATTTTTAATTTTATTTCGTTTATCTTCTTTATCTTATTTTCATTTATTTTTATTTACCTTTACTTAATCCTTTTTATTTTCTTTATCTTTTTATCTCCGTATTATTTTCTTTATTTTATTTGTTTTTATTTTCTCATTTTTTATCTAACACTTTTCTTGATTCTTTAAAAGTATGTTTTCAAAAACGGTTAAAGGTAAGTAATTCAGATCGTCATTTTACCTTCTAATTTAAAATTACAATTTTCTTAATTAAAGACAACTGGAAATTATATAGTACCGAAAGGGCAGTTCAAGGGTGCTAACCCTTCCTTGACTGTAACCGACTCCCGAATCCGACACATCTTTGGTAAAACGCAGATCAGGTGAGAATTAAAGTATCCGGTCAACCCATTTTTTATAAAATAAATGATCGGTGGCGACTCTAATTCACATTTTTCAAGTCGAAGCCCAATTTCGGGGCCCAACCGAAAGACGGTTGCGATAGCTTGGCGACTCCTCTAGGGACCAGGTAAGTGAGTCAGGCTAAGGTAATTTCCAGTTGTCTTTTTAACGAAAATGGTAAGTTTAAATTTTAAGGTAATATTTCGATCATTTTTACTTACTTTTGATTATATTTTCGAGTAAATAGTTGGACTAATCGTTTTTTCATGATTTCAGCCTTCAAAGTTTTTTTTTCATCTAAGGTTCTATACCCGAGCTCTAAACCCTATTTTAAGTAGGGGTGAAAGCGACGCCTTCGTGTGAATTTATTCACCGTGCGGGCATAAGGGAATGTGTCCTCTCGAGTTTAACTTAGTCCACACAAGCCTGTGATGGGTTTAGGACTAAGGGTCTGGCAAGCCCAAGGGGGCATCGGCAAGGAGAACTCGAGTACATTTTTTTAGAACCTAAACCCGGAGACTACAAGGAATTAGGGCCCACCACAAAACCATATTTCCGAAACCTAGGATATTTTTACCTTAACCATGTCTTTTTTTCCTTTCGTCATTTATTTATTTATTTATTTTACTAACATTTTTGCCTTTGGGTTTGTTTTTTTTAGCATTTGCATCATAACAAGAGGCTATTGATCTTTAAAAAGCATTTATTACACACAAAATAATCTGAATTAATAGACAAAGGTTTTGTAATACAAGAGATTAAGAACGCCGAGGCACGACTATGGTCCGAGATGACTCAGAAAGAGAAGGGATACAGTCTTCAGGGAAACTATGTGTCAGAGCTGGTTAGCTATGCCTCTGTCGGCCTGAAACAGAATGATGTCTAAGAGTTGCGAAACATTTGGGACAGTTGGAAGAATGATAGAAAGAAGAAGTTCAGCCAACGATATGGTGATATTGCCCTCTTACTTCATGTCAAGACTGATGAGCCTCTGCTCCGAGCACTGATTCAATTCTGGAACCCGGGATATAGTTGCTTCACCTTTAACCGGGAGGACATTGTGCCCATTATCGAAGAGTATACCACGCTACTGCACTGCGAAAACATCAGACTATAGAAGGCATATATCAAACATATCAAGGGTCAACCTTTTAAGAACGGACTGGCCAAGATTACAGGGGTTGATGAAAAATGGGTGACTGATCGACTCCGACACAAAGGTAGCGGGGAAGGAATCGAGTGGATCCATATAAAGCAACTAATGAAGAACCACCCTGATGAATGGAAGACTATAGATCTTTTTGCACTGGGTCTGTACGGTTTAATTATCTTTCTGAAGACTTTGGGGTGCATCGACGCAGCCGTAGTAGAACTATTTGAACAACTTCTAAGGTGAGTCAACCTAACGCCGACCATCTTAGCCGAGACCTTTCGGTCTCTTAATCAGTGCAGAAGATCTGGTGGAGGTAGGTTCGTTGGGTGTATTCAGCTCCTTCAAGTCTGGATTCAAAGCCATTTCTGGAAGACTAACGGGGTAGCCTACCGCCGATTCAGCACTACCTATTCATCGTTGGGAGAGTTCATCACTATGAAATGGCATGAGGGCGCTTCGAAGGAAAAATGGATGAAGGTCTTCACTCATCTTCAGGACCGGGATATTACCTGGAGAGCCCCTTGGTTGTTCCTCAGTGACGTTCTTTTTCGATGTGGGGATTCTGACACTATGACCGTACTTGGACTTTGGGGTGCAGTTGGGTATGCTCCGTTATTAGCACTTAGACAATATGGGGCACGTCAGTTTGTCCCAGCAACATACGAATTATCTACATCAGAGTTTGTGTATCACGGTGATAGTTATAAGAAGAAGATCAAAGAGATAGCCGAGTCATGGAAGAAAGTATCCCGGATGGATGTTGTGGCTGCTAAAGACATGCTCACTCCATACTATTTAGAGTGATGAAGATTACGAAAAAACGATAATACCCCGGTGCCAGACTATGAGGACATACGAACCATGGAGGAACATCTCAAACCTACCCCTTCTGAACTTGAGATAGCCAAGGCAGAGTTTGAAGCTGTGAATAATGAACTGAAGCAGAAGGTAAAGGAACTTGAAGCTAAGCGCTATCAGTGGAAGCTAGATGCCGACTCTCAGAAAAATAAAGCAGATAAACTAGAAAGAGAATATAAAAGAGTTCGTTTTGAGCTTGAAGACTTGAGAAAGGGGTATCAAGATACGGTCAAGGATAACTCCAAGTTGATGGTGTCTTATGAGTACTGGAAAGATGAAGCTCACAGATTGAAAAGAAAGTTCGAGGAGCCTGATGAGAGAGCCTAGAAAGAACAGATAAAAACTGCCCAGAGACGCTTAGTAGACAGCCAGCATCAAAACCAACGCTTGAAAATCCAGATGGCTGATCTGGAGAAACAACATGAGAGAGATGGCAAAACAATAGCTGAGTTAGAAACTATTGTAGATGGGTTCAAAAAGCAAGCGAGCGAGCTTCAGATAGTACCCTTCAATGGGGGTTTGCAGTGGCGTTTCTGTTGGGAGCAAGCACAACAAAGGGTAAAGGCCAGAGACGCAGTTATCCAAGACTTCTTGGATCAAGTACAGAAGGTAGCTCGCCATCTACATGGCCTGGCAAGGGAAGCTGGAGTGGTTCGACAAGGTATACAACCAGTGACAAATGAAAGAATAAGACTTGTCAACCTACTAGAAGTTATTTGGGGTTTAGTGGATTTAGTCCGAATGTACCTTTGATTGTTTTTATGTCTCTTACAAGATAAAACATTTTTGTCTAAATAACGATTATTTATAATAATGAACACTTTTCTAGATCAGTGCCTCTAAATCACATTGCATACTTTGCATTTTATATTTCATGTTTATTTTTATATTCTCCATGTTTTTACATTCATATTAACTAACAGAACATGTCTCAGAAAGGGAAAGAGCAAACACCAAGCTTACCACCGTAAATATTAAATACGCATCACCCGCACAATACCCGAGCAAAGAAAAGACAAATAGAGGCCAGAATGGAAAAACTCGAGGAGAACATGTCAAGACTACAAAAAGAACTGGAAGATAAGATGGCTCAAAACAGTCAGAGCACTCTGGAGTCCATCAAGAAAAAACAGGAATCCTTGGTCGACCAAATAGTGGCCAAGTTATCAGGTTTACAACAAGCTAGTGTAGTAGGGGAAGTCCCTCCGAAGGGGTAACCATATCACCAACCTCACAGGTGATTATGTCACCCGAGATCTTACCCAGACCACAAGAAAATTCTTATGTTGTCAAAGGAAAAGCACCATCTGCTGTAAAGGTGCAAACTTCCAAAACTAATCCTGATAATCATCCGGATGATTACAGTATCCCGAATTTCAATGAAGATGACAAAGCGAAAAAGATGGAAGAGAAGATCAGGATGATAGAAGATCGAATGAAAATGGTCCAAGGGGACCATGATTATTATGGAGTGGATGCAAGGAAGCTGAGCCTGGTTCCAGATTTGGTACTTCCACCAAAGTTTAAAGTTCCTGAGTTTGAGAAGTTCGATGGGAACAGCTACCCATCAGCCCATATCACTATGTTCTGTCGGAAGATGACAGGATATGGAGGGAATGATCAACTCCTGATCCACTACTTTCAGGAGAGCCTATCTGGTTCAGTTATCCGTTGGTACAATCAGCTCAACCAAACTCACATCAAGACATGGAAAGACTTAGCCATGTCTTTCCTAGAACAATATAAACATATCAACGATATGAGACTAGACCGGGTTATGCTGCAAAGCCTGGAAAAGAAGCACAATGAGAGTTTCCGACAATATGCGCAGCGATGGAGGGATTTTTCTGTGCAAGTTCATCCACCCTTGGATGAAAAAGAGACTAGAAAGTTGTTTATATAAACCCTGAAGGCACCTTACTTCGGACACCTGGTGGCAATTACATATGGAGGTTTCTCAGATTTAGTCATGGCCGGTGAAATGATTGAGTTGCCATTAAACAAGGAAAAAACGAGGGAGGAGACTCCAGTAAGAAACCTCTCATGAAAAACAAAGACATAGAGATCAACAATGTCAACACTTATAACATCAACAAGGGTGTTACGGTCTCAAGCTCAAAAACCACTGCAACTGTACCATCTAGTACTTCTACCCAAACTCAAAGGGAACCAAGGAGGGAAAAGGAAAGGGAACAGTTCGATCCCATTCCCATGAAATATAAAGAGTTATATCAACAACTCCTCGACACTCACGCAGTTTCACCTTACCCAATGGATCCGATAAAGACCCCATATCCGAGATGGTATGACGAGAACACAAAATGTGAATATCATGGTGGTATGCAAGGGCATTCGATTGAAGGTTGTCTCGTATTCAAGAGGCTTGTACAACGAATGCGGAACAAGAACTGGATCACCTTCAACTCTAAAACACCAAACGTCACCCAGAATCCCTTGCCTAATCATCTGGAGGCCGGAATTAATGCAGTCATCACCAAAAACGACAGGAGAATCAAAACCAATATTTCAGAAATCAAAGCTCCTTTGGCTTGGGTATGGAGCCAAATGGTAAAGGCAGGGCTTCTTGTATCCAATCATATGCAGTAAAAAATGAAGGTGGTAGCTACTATTGTTACCACGACGAAGAGGGGCATAAAGTGCAAGAATGCCCTGAATTCAAGACATTAGTCCAGCTCATGATGGACCAGAAAGAGCTGGAGTTTTATGAAGAAGTTCAGGATTCCCCAGAAGAAAACATTTGCGCTACCGGAGAATCATCAGAAAAAAGACTCGGCAGGGGTAGTCCTTTAATCATCACCCCTAAGGCAAAGACGACAACGACAACTCCACAAGCAAAGGTGGTAATTACAGCACCTCGACCTTTTCAGTACAAGGACAATCGGCAAGTGCCATGGAAGTACAGATGCCAGGTGAGTACTTCCAAAGGATGTGACAACAATGTGGGGCAAAGATAACTAGAGCCCTTCAAGGAAGACGTATTGGCTATCAATGAGCCTATAAAGGAGGAAGAAGCTAAAGAATTCCTCAAATTTCTGAAGCATAGTGAGTACAATATTGTAGAACAACTCCACAACTTACCAACACATTCTTCAATGTTGGCACTTTTATTAAATTCAGAAGCACATCGGGAGGCATTGTTGAAGGTCCTGAATCAGACATTCGTGCCACAAGACATACCAGTCAGCAAGGGATCGACTGGTAAATAATATTCAAGTTGATAATCTCATCTCATTTTCAGATGATGAGATTCCATCCGGAGGAAGAGGCCGAACGAAGGCATTGCACATCACCACCTACTGCAAGGGGCATGCTCTGCCAAGTGTATTGATCGACAACGGATCAGCCTTAAACGTGATGCCTTTAGTAACATTGAAAAGGCTGCCAATAGATACCTCGTATATGAGAGCCTGCCAGAACGTGGTCCGAGCATTTGATGGGACCAAAAGAGAGGTTATTGGCAAGATAGAGGTGCCACTGACTATCGGACCTGCTACCTATGATATTAAGTTTCTGGTAATGGATATCACGCATTCCTACAACTGTATTCTGGGAAGGCCATGGATTCATCAAGCTGGTGCAGTTCCATCCACACTGCACCAAAAGGTTAAATTTGTTATTGACAGTGCCTTAGTAATTATCAATGTTGAGGAAGATGTTGTGGCAAGTGTGACCACGGAGGCCCCATACATCGAGGTGGACGAGGAAGCGGTGGAGTGTTTGTTTCGTTCCTTATAATTTGTGAATGCCACCTTTGTGGCAGAAGGAAGAAGGATTCCTAAACCCTGGCTTTTTAAATGTACCAGAATGGAGATCATGCAAACATTGGGACGAGGTGCCAAGACTGGAAGAGGGTTTGGAAAGTTTCTGCAGGGGAGGACTGATCCAGTTCTTCCTATTTTAAAGCCAGACCGTTTTGGGCTCAGCTTTCAGCCCAGTTACCATGAGAAGAGAAAAGAAGTTTAGAAGAACCGAGAGAGAAGACTAGCCAGGTTGACTGGAAGTGAACTTCAATGGGAGCCCATGATATTCCCGCCTCTTTGCCACACATTCAAGTCAAGTGGTTATGAGTTTGAGACCACATTATCAGACTTAGAAGCGGATTTGGAAGATTTAAGCATCAATGCCATAACCACTGGAAATGCTGGTGATGCAATTAGATCGGGGATACGCCCTCTGCCACCTGGGTTCGTGCCTAGCCGTTGGTCGGTTGAAGAACTACATGTGGTTTACAAGAGTCTTTCAGAGTAATATTCAAACTATCCCTATTCGTCTATACCCGGGGCAATAAGTGATCTTTTGTAAAGGTTAATAAATATTATGTTTAAGTTCAATAAAAGATGCATTTTTTCTTTTCCATGGTAAACAAAATTTTCCTTTGTTCCTTTTTGAATTCATTGTCTATCTTCTTCATTTCAATACTTCATTTCCTCTTTCCCTCGAATTTAATTCTTGATTATTTCGTGTGGGATATTTTCCTCTCACACATGCACATTTTACCTTCTTTCAGATCCCCAGATAACAATAATGTAGGCACTAATGATCCTGATCCGGAGGTGGATTTTGAATATGCCATTTGCCTCGGGGAATTTGATAAGAGCGACACTGAAGAGGAGTGCAACTTGCCTACTGAATTGTTGAGAATGGTAGAAAGAGAAGATAAACAAATACTGCCCCATAAAGAGACAATCGAAATCTTGAATATGGGTACTGAAAAAGATCGAAAGGAGGTTAAAATCGATACGACTCTTTCGACGGAAGCAAGACACAACCTGATAGTCTTACTTCAAGAGTACAGAGAGGTGTTCGCATGTTCGTATCAAGACATGCCTGGATTAGACACAGATATGGTAGTCCACAAACTGCCAATTAAACCAGAATACAAACCAGTGCAACAGAAACTGAGAAGGATGCGACCAGAAATGCTCCTTAAGATCAAGGAAGAAGTTAAGAAGCAGTTTGATGCTGGTTTTCTTCAAGTGGCCAAATATCCGGAGTGGGTGGCCAACATAGTGACTGTGCCGAAAAAGGACGGGAAAGTACGTATGTGTGTCGATTACAAGGACCTTAACAGGGCAAGTCCCAAGGATAACTTTCCTCTACCACATATAGACACTCTGGTGGACAATACAGCCAGGAACAACTACTTTTCATTCATGGATGGATTTTTGGGGTACAATCAGATCAAAATGCATCCCGAAGATATGGAGAAGACCACTTTTGTCATGATGTGGGGAACTTTTTGTTACAAAGTGATGCCTTTCGGATTAAAGAATGCTGGGGCAACATATCATAGAGCTATGGTGACCCTGTTCCATAACATGATGCACAAAAAAATCGAGGTTTATGTCGACGACATGATTGTCAAAGCACAGACCGAAAATGAACATGTGGAGCATTTGAGAAAGCTCTTCTAGAGATTAAGAAAGTTCCAGCTTCGACTGAATCCTAGCAAGTGTACTTTTGGGGTAACATCCTGGAAACTGATAGGCTTCGTGGTCAGCAAAAAAGGTATTGAGGTTGATCCTGACAAAGTTAAGGCTATCCAGAATCTACCTCCGCCTCGAACATAAAAGGAGGTCTGAGGTTTTCTGGGCAGATTAAATTACATAGCTCGGTTCATATCTCAGTTAACCGATAAGTGTGATCCAATCTTTTGACTTCTCCGAATGAATAGTCCTGGGGCATAGGATGAAAACTGTCAGATTGCATTCGAGAAGGTGAAAGAGTACTTGTCTCATACTCCTATCTTAATGTCCCTCATCCCAGGAAAACCTCTGTTCTTGTACTTATTCATATTCGAGAACTCAATGGGGTGTGTCTTGGGCCAACATGACGAGTCTGGAAGAAAAGAAAGAGCCATCTACTATCTGAGTAAGAAGTTCACCGATTGCGAGGTCAGATATCCTCCTATCGAGAAAGTTTGTTATGCTTTAGTCTGGGCTACAAAAAAACTCAGACAATACATGTTGTATCACACCACTTGGTTGATTTCCAAGTTAGATCCTTTAAAATACATGATGGGGGTACCTGCTCTATCCGGAAGGTTAGCTCGATGGTAGATGCTATTGTCCGAATTCGACATTGAATACGTGAGCCAGAAAAAAATCAAAGAAAGTGCTATATCGGATTTCTTAGCAAGCAGAACCAATGAGAATTATGATCCATTAGACTCTGATTTCCCAGTTCAAGACTCGATGGCTTTATCCTTAGAAGAAATAGGTACTTCAACAGACAGTTCTTGGAGAATGTATTTCGATGGGGCATTCAATGCATTAGGACATGGCATCGGGGCAATACTGATCTCTCCAGAAGAGAGTCACTATCCATTTACCAGCAGACTGAACTTCGATTGTACCAGTAACATGGCAGAGTATGAGGCCTGTGTCTTGGGAATTCGAGCTGCACTGGGGCAAAATGTAAAGACCCTGCGGATATACGGAGATTCAGCATTAGTAATCTATCAGCTCTGTGGAGAATGGGAAACCAAAGATACAAAACTGATGGAATACCAGAAGCTAATATTGGATCTGCTCGAAGAATTTGATGAAGTCACTTTCCACTATGTGCCAAGAGAAGAAAATCAAATGGTTGATGCTTTGGCTACCTTGGCAGCCGCATTCAAAGTTGGCAGAGAGTCTGAGATGATGCCAATTGACATGCAGTCGTATGAGTACCCGGCCCATTGCTACCAGATTAAAGAAGTAAAAGACACTAAGCCTTGGTACAATGACATTTTGCAGTATATCAAGCATCGAAGCTATCCAGAGGAGTCCACTAAAACCGATAAAAGAACCATTAGAAGGATGGCAGCTGGATACGTCCTCGACGGAGAGATCTTGTATAAGAAAAGCCATAATCAAGTTCTGTTAAGGCGCGTCGATGCTGAAGAGGCAAAAATAATAGTGGAAGAAGTACATGACGGAGTTTGTGGAGCACATGCAAATGGACATATGATGTCGAGACAGATAATGAGATGCGGATATTTCTGGTCCATACTGGAAAGCGATTGCATCAACTATGCTAGAAAGTGACATAAATGTCAGATTTACGGAGATAAAATAAATGTTCCACCGCATCCGCTTCATGTCATGACGTCACCATGGCCTTTCTTTATGTGGGGCATGGATGTAATTGTGCAAATTCATCCAAAGGCTTTGAATGGCCATCGTTTCATCCTTGTAGCCATCAATTATTTCACTAAGTGGGTAGAGGCTACTTCCTATGTTAATGTCACTCAATCTGTTATCTGTAAGTTTTTGAAGAAAGAAATCATATGTCGGTATGGTTTACCTGAAAGGATCATTACCGATAATGCTACAAACTTGAACAATAAAATGATGAAAGCTGCTTGTGAGCAATTCAACATAAAGCATCACAATTCTACTACCTACAGACCAAAGATGAATGGTGCAGTAGAAGCAGCAAACAAAAACATTAAAAAGATAGTGGAGAAAACAACTGAGACCTACAAGGACTGGCATGAGAAGTTGCCTTTCGCTTTGTTCGCTTATCGAACCTCAGTACGAACCTCGACTGGGGCAACTCCATTTTCACTAGCTTATGGAATGGAAGCAGTACTACCCATTGAAGTAGAAATTTCGTTACTACGGGTCTTGACAGAAGTCAAACTAGATGACACATAATGGATGCAATCCAGATACGATCAGCTTAATCTGATAGATGAAAAGAGACTGAAAGCCATTCACCATGGTCAAATCTATAAAAAACGAATGATTCGAGCACATGACAAGAAGGTATGCCCAAGAATATTCCATGAAGGAGATCTGGTGCTAAAGAGAATTTTGCCAGTTCCGAAAGATTTCTGAGGAAAATGGACGCCAAATTGGGAAGGACCCTATGTCGTGAAGAAGGCCTTTTCCGGAGGGGCCCTTGTCCTGGCCGAAATGGACGGACCTGACCTGCCACATCCCATCAACTCAGATGCAGTCAAAAAATACTACGCTTAGGTTAAAAACCTGAAAGGGTGTCCTAAGTCGAAAAAAATGTTTAGGGTGAAAACCCGGAAGAGCGCCCTAGATAAAAAAAAGAAAAAGAAAAATAGCAAAAAGGTGGGTTCAAGGTGAAAACCCGCAAAGGGCGTATTGCAACCAAGGATGGATCCAAGTTGAAAACCCGAAAGGGAGATTTGGATAATTCAAGAAACCCATACATTTGAAACTCCCCGGCATCTGAATTTCCGCAGACTCAACAAGTCAGAGAAAGGTTGCACTCTCCTAAAGATTGTCACATTTTTCAAAGATCCTTTGGCAAAGGCTGTATTCAAGGTCTCCTAATGGTTTTTCAGCTCAGAAGTGCCCACATTATTGAAATCTAACACATTCATTTATAACTCATCATGTCTTCATCTTCCAAAATGTTTGTCATGTATTATTTGTTCTTTTTCCCTCATGAATAAAAGACAATCCTTTTCTCTACACCAATTCTTTTTGAGCATCTTAGATTGAGCTTAAACTTAATGATTTATTCACTCATGCAAAAGATATTCGTATATTACTACACAAAGATTCATTGAAAAGTACAGGTACTCGGAAGCTGATCAGGGTTCATGTATATACTTGAGATGGTCGAGAGGCATTTCTCGGATCAAGGATATAAAAACAAACATCAAACTTGAACATTTGAAGAATTCAAGACCAGGAGTCGAAATCTTCAAAATTCCATGCAGGCAATCAAAGATCGATATTTCTCTCCACATCCCCATAACTTTTTCATTTTTTAGCCAGAGTCAATTTCAACTTCGCGACGAAGGATATTGAACTCACAATTTGCTCAAGAGTAGATTTCAACTTCATGACGAAGGATATCTAGCTCAAAGCCAAACATCCACGATTTCAACTCCACGACGGAGGATATCGCGTCACTCAAGATAACACAAGTTCAACTTCACGACGAAGGGACGACTGGTTGTCAACAACAATTTTCCAATTTCAGAGCCAATTTCAACTTCACAGCGAAGGATATTGGACTCTAGACAACACAAGTTCAACTTCACGATGAAGGGACCGCTGGTTGTCAACAACAACTTCCCAATTTCAGAGCCAATTTCAACTTCACAGTGAAGGATATTGGACTCCAGACAACGCAAATTCAACTTCACGACGAAGGGACCGCTGGTTGTCAACAACAACTTCCCAATTCCAGAGCCGATTTCAACTTCACAGCGAAGGATATTGGACTCTAGACAACGCAAGTTCAACTTCACGACGAAGGGACCGCTGGTTGTCAACAAACAACTTCCCAATTTCAGAGCCAATTTCAACTTCACATCGAAGGATATTGGACTCCAGACAACGCAAGTTCAACTTCACGACTAAGGGACCGCTGGTTGTCAATAAACAACTTCCCAATTTCAGGGCCAATTTCAACTTCACAGCGAAGGATATTGGACTCCAGACAACGCAAGTTCAACTTCACGACGAAGGGACCGCTGGTTGTCAACAATAACTTCCCAATTTCAGAGCCAATTTCAACTTCACAACGAAGGATATTGGACTCCAGATAACGCAAGTTCAACTTCACGACGAAGGGACCGCTGGTTGTCAACGGACATTTTCCAAATTTCAAAGCCAATTTCAAAGGATATTGGATTTAAGACAGCACAAGTTCAACTTCACAATGAAGGGACGACTGACTGTCAACAAACTTTTCAGTTTCAGAGTCAATTTCAACTTCACGACCGAGGATATTGGACTCGGAACAATATTTGGATTTCAACTTCATCCAATTCTCAGGCTCGACTTCATGACGAAGGGGGCCCTGTACGATTCCAATTTAACAAACAGATTTATCCAACTTCATGATGAAGGAGTCATCTGTAACACAGCCATACCGAAGTCTTCAGGTCGAGAATACGATTCAGAGGCCACTTGCCAAAAACTTTGAGCTCGTTTTCAACTTCACGGCAAAGGATTTCGTGCTCAAAATTTTCCAGTGTTGACTCAACCTCACGACGAGAGAGTCATTTTGTGATTGACAAACCAGTTTCAGCATCGGGTTTCAGCTCTACGACAGAGGATAGTCGATGTGGACGAAATCTGTGTCTTTTAATCTTTGCTCTATTTTCGTTACACGATAATGAGCAAAGAGGGGCAGCTGAAGACACCGAATTTCGACCTTTTCTTTTTTCATTCAATTATTATATTGTATAATATATTTATGTATTATAATACACATATATTCATATATCATTTTTTATGTTACAGGCCAAAATCCAAACAGCCCGATTCAGGGGCCCAGCAACAGTGACCCATACCTATTCTAAGCCAAACCCGAGTATCAGGAATTCCAGAAATCCTAGGGCGTCGCTCCCTCTCGTCTGCACTTCACGCCTCTCACTGTCGCACGTCACTTACCACCAAATCCCGTAAACTCCGGCGCAAGGACCTCACAAACACAGCAAACAAGAGTACCAGTTTCATTAGGACTCAATTACTAAAATAGTATTTTTTTAGGGTATAAATAAACATGTAATGATCCGTTTTGAAACACACAATATCAGAGAGTATTAGGCACAAAAATACCAGAAAACGAATCGAGCAAAAGGCCAGAATACTTGTACTCTTCGAAACAAGAAAAAGAGAATGAAAAGGCCCCCCATGTCCCCTCTTTTTGACCAATCTATTTTTTTCGGTGAAAATCCATTAGTTAGGAGAACATTGAAGCATAATTATTAACACCATGAGACCCTTAAAGCCTATTAGCTAAAGGAATCTTCTTTTGACAAAAATAACTAAACATGCAGCCCATACGTCTTCCTCTTTTATTATTCTTTTTTTTACCCCTTAATTTTGCTTTTATTGTAATTTTATCCCCTATTTATATATATATAATTATATTTTTCTATTCTCTATATTTCTTTTTGGTTCTTACTACTCTTTTTATTGTCTTTTTACTTTATTCTATTTTCTTTATTATCTTCTTTGTTTCATCTTTATTTTTAATTTTATTTCGTTTATCTTCTTTATCTTATTTTCATTTATTTTTATTTACCTTTACTTAATCCTTTTTATTTTCTTTATCTTTTTATCTCCGTATTATTTTCTTTATTTTATTTGTTTTTATTTTCTCATTTTTTATCTAACACTTTTCTTGATTCTTTAAAAGTATGTTTTCAAAAACGGTTAAAGGTAAGTAATTCGGATCGTCATTTTACCTTTTAATTTAAAATTACAATTTTCTTAATTAAAGACAACTGGAAATTATATAGTACCGAAAGGGCAGTTCAAGGGTGCTAACCCTTCCTTGACTGTAACCGACTCCTGAATCCGACACATCTTTGGTAAGACGCATATCAGGTGAGAATTAAAGTATCCGGTCAACCCATTTTTTATAAAATAAATGATCGGTGGCGACTCCAATTCACATTTTTCAAGTCGAAATCCAATTCCGGGGCCCAACCAAAAGACGGTTGCGACAGCATGCTTTGCAGTTCCAGCTGAGGGTACCATAATCACTACACCCAGAGAGCTCGTGGACGAACAACATCCTCAACTTTTCAAAGACTTCTACTTCATGGAGTTCATCCTCTTTGCCTTTTCCGAGCAAGCAAAACACATCGAATCCACCAAACAGATTCATGCATTCGCTTCTCTCTCTCCACCAGTTTCCAAATAAAACGATGGCGGCTCATATCAACAGAAAAAGTCCGATTATGACTTTAAACTTTACAAAATGAACCTATGTTATTTGGTGTTGCATTACTATATTTTTACTTTGTTATAAATAAAGATTTAGAATTCATGTGTTTTGTACCATATTTCTATGTTTTTATAAGTTTATCATTAATAATAACTCGGAATTCATGTTTTTACATAGTATTACTGTTTTCTTAAAGAAAATTATAATTTTGTATTATAGATTACTACCATGAAAATTATGTGTAATTTATGTTATCAATAAGTAAATTCACAGATCCTGCAACATAATAAAGGATTTCTTTTGCTGCTCCAAAGCGTTATTCTGCAGGACACTGCATAAATGTAGACACTAACACAAAAAGCAATATCTGGTTTAGTGTGCGTAAGATAATTAAAACCACCAAATAGACTTTTGAACAGTGCTGAATTAAATTTGCCAATCTCATCTTCATGCTGTAACTTCTCATTGATGTTCATTGAAGTGGCTGCTACCTCACAATTTGACGTGCTAAACTTGTTTAAAAGATTTGCAGCAAACCTTGTTTTAGCATACAAAAATTCCGTCTGTTAATAGAGCCAATAGTTGTTGCTCTGTAAGGAGGCAGAGTTGACCTTAAGTTTGGGAAAAAACTGGGGATTCAGGTCTGTGAATAGGGCCAATAATTGTTGTTGATGTCTTTGAATTCTGGATGTCACATGCAATCGGAGGTCTATAGGTATTGTTATTATTTGGAACAAAACTATTTTTAAGGAAGAATAATCGATTGCTAAACAGAGGTTTGTTTGCGTTAAGGGATGTTGGGTACAATCAAGTGGAAGCTGATATATTCCTTCGGCTACAAGATTGGTGGTTTTTTTTGTTCTTATAATTTAAGATAATCGGTAATTCATGGTAAATGGATCTCTTCGGGCGACGCCTACCCTGTTTTAAGCTCAGGTAAATGGATTTTCTTAGTTTTAATAAATTTTAGGAATATGATCATGTGGGATAAGTTTTTCCCTTGTTCATGTGACGTGTAAAGCGATTGATTTGGTCAACTCTCAAGTCTTGAAAATCAGGGTGTCGTTTTGGAACTTGATTTATGTTTCTTATCAGTTTTTGGCGAGTCATGGAGATGGTTCCGATTCTTCTTTGCTTGAACAACATTCACCATGATCCATATGAGTTGATGCGATGAGTTTGCGCGAGTTGTGGTGATAGTCGATGGCATGTTATTTCATTGACGAGTCACTTAATTGGAGTTTAAAATGGATGAGATTGATAAGTTAGGTGAATTGGTATATTGGAAAGTGGAGAATTTTCTTGGTTCTACAGGATGATATGGTGCGGATCTTAAGTGTGATGATCGAATTACTTTTTCTTTAAGAGATGTAAATGTAATTGGTGGTGTTTTGCTACTGTTGTGGGAGTTGGTTTCTGGTGAAATTAAAACAGAACATGTAGTAGCATTTGAACAGAAAGTAACTGAATTTGTAGGTGATGGAGGAATTGAATTTGCAAGCTGTTCAACTTCATAATATGCTGGAACTTCTTTCTTCATGCCTCCATGTTCCCCAAAACTATATAAAGCATTCCTCAAACTACCCATGTTTACTCATTCAATACAGGTTTAGTAAAAGATTAAGTATTTCTTCTATGTGATGAATGTTAGGATATTTTTTTCAAATGAATATAATAGCATTTTAGGGAGGCGCATTGGTTTATAGACTTTGACTGGGAATTTTTCTTATATGGTTTCCAAATACTAGATTTAGACCTAAGTAAAAAATTTCATAAATTTTAAAAATAAGAAAAAATCTACCCAAACTAAATAATAGTCTTGTCATGTATTTAGATTTAGGGTGCGTTTGGTTCACAGAATGTAAGATTACCAGTGAGAATAAATGATTACCAGGGAATAAGATTACTGGGAATGTTGTATTTTGTGTTTGGTTGGTTTAGCAGGAATGTAAGATTACATTGTTTTATTAAAGGAATAAAAGATTATTGGAATATATATTTGACCAAATTGTCCTTATTATATATTTGTTTAATGAAAGGGTAAAATTTTATTTTAGCCCCTGAACTTCATATAAAATTTTAATTATAGACTTTTTTTATAAATCTAAAATAGTTTAAGGATAAATTTGTAATTTAACCTTCGTATAATTTTTATTATTCAATGACAGAAGAAGGATATTTTTGAAAGAAAAAAAATTAAGGTCATTTTAGTCCAAAACGCTGATAATCCAACAATACCTAAGGGAAAGGAGGTAATGACATTTCCGATAATATACTCCAAAAAATCCACTATTGGTAATAAAATATTACTAGTAATGACATTATCGACCAATCAAACGGGAGAATGTGGATTCCATTCCCATGAGAATTCCGTATTCCCCGAACCAAACAACCCCTTAGGGTTTTGACATCATTAATGTATAATACGCCGTTTGGTTAACATTAAATGAAGGCAACGCAAGAAAATTTTGGATTGTCAAATAATTTGCCATGATAGATTAAAATCATAATACAAAAACTAGAGATTTTATTTATATTAATAGACTTTTAAAACCATAATAAGATGAAAAAACAGTCCAACTGCTTATCTTCACAAATTAAAGGCATAATAATATGAGACGAAACCATGGATTTTGAGACGATGAATCGAATCATGATTTTGTAACATGAATTCAAATTCATAATAGCTGTGTATATGGGCATGGTTTTATTCTGAAATTGGTGGTGAGAGAGCAGCAAAGGCATGGATCTGTTTTGTGGACTCGATGAAGCTTGCTTTCTCGGAAAAGGCAAAAAGAAAAAATTCCATGAAGTTGAAGTCCTTGAAAATTTAAGGATGTTGCTCATCTACAAGCTCCTTTGGCGTACTAATTATCTCACCCTCAACTGGCATAGCAAATGTTGCTATGGAAAATCGATCTTTGTCTCCGCTCATTGTCACTCGGTGGTTCACTGCTTTCATTCTCCCATTGCTCCATGCCTGCAATTTTTCATTTTTTTACATGATTAATAAAATAAATACATATATTAACAATAAAACTCATCAAAACGTCTCCATAATAAACCCTTATGTGATTTGTAGTTGGTCTGTGTTTATATATGCATACAATAAATTTTTATAAATCCTTATAATTATTTTTTATTAAGGTGTTGTATAATTATCAAACAAGCCGTCAAATTAGAAAGGTTTCATTCAACGGTAAGAAGAAAATATTGAGGTTTCATTCAATAAAAAAACCCAAAGGTTCCATTCAGTAAGTCAATCGAATGCTTATCCGAAAATATTATTACGGTTAAATTATTAGAGTTGATAAGAAAACACAATTAAAAACACATGGATAATAAACAAGTCCATTCGTTTGCAAATCACAATCATTGACTTCAACCCATATATGCGTGTGTATATTATGAGGTAAATCTATAAACGACTTTGTTAAAAATGAAGCTGTATAACATTTTAATGTTTAACCTTGAACAAATTAAGTCAAGTTAGATGTGCATGTTGATTCAAAACTAATTAGTTACACGTATCATACGTACCATGAGAGGATCTCTGACCACAAAGAAAAAGGAAGAAGGCGATGAAGACAACTTGATCCATTGACCGTCGCCCACCTCGATTTCGAGACCGGAGACGAGATCATCACAAATGATAGTGCTGACTGGTTTATCGGAATGAGAATGGAGTCCTTGGCCCGACTCCTACCCCGGTGGAGGGGCCTTGTATTTCATCATACGAAGCAGCATTTTGTAGTCAATCATCACTGACTCCCACTTCTTCCCTAATCCATAACTATCTATTATCAGCAACCAGATCATGTTGTTCAGCTCCTCCATCTGTTTCACTATGGTGTGTATCGTTTCACTGCCACAAAAAGATCATGCATCATAATTTGTTAATTTTCGTAAAAATCTAAACTCGAAATCACATGAATCGGAATCGTTAGTACCAAAAATGGGGGTGACCATGGGGCCACATAAGTTGAGCAAAGCTTCCAACGCAGTCATAGTTGGAGGCCTCGTCGATTCCGTAGCCTTCGTACAATGATGTGTCACTGCATGGTCAGATGAAGCCATGGTTAGGCTTTGGATTAACGTTCTTTTGTTTTCTCTCCAGTGGGACTTCCTCAACCAGTTGTTTTAACAGCGCAAACGTATCGTCTCGGGCTTTCCGTGATATCCCTTCGTACACCACCTGGAAACAACCGTAGGTCTCGCAAGCCTCTCGGACACTCTTGCACAACTGGTGCCACCCTTTGGTTCCTCGTCCCAAATCCAACGAACTGGTTCGGAACTCGATGACTGGGACCTGAAACTCAGCATTGGCACCCATGCTAATTGTTTTTTGCCCTAACAAGTTGGTTTTCTTGTACTGATAAACTTGTAGATTGGCATGGTTCTATTTACCTAGGGTTTTGCTTCTATTTATAGCGTCGGAATTCAATTCAACACAGGTTTAGTAAACGAATAACTGTTATTTTATGACAGGAATGTGCTCCGGTCAAGGAAAATTTGTTACGGCACTTAATATAAAATTAAGATTGAAGTTTACGAATAGATTATTAATTAGTCAATCTTAATTTTGACTATCCCTCTTTTAGTTACAATGGCCTTACAATACGATTTTTTTTTCTGAAAAACTTTAATATAATATATTTGTAATAAAGTATTTTATCTTTATATTTTCGTATATTGTAATTCATCCTCCTAAAACTCTCTAAAGCATTTATCAAAATCATGACTATCCATGTTTATTAATTTAACACTAGATATTAATTTTACGTAATGAATGTTAGAATATTTTCTCAATATGAATATCATAGAATTTAAGGGAAGTACACTGGTCGATTAGTCAACTACTGGGTGATGCAGTTTAAGTTTTTTTTTTCTTTATGTTAGAGTCATTACAAAGTAGTATTTGTTCTTAATATTTATAACCTTTTGGCAATGAATGTTCAATTACGCATGGTTCAGTAGTTGGTGCTTAAACG